TGAATGCTGTAACAGGACATAACATAAAATTACTCAATACGGTGTAATAACGTGAGCCTCACCGGTATTTAATGGTATAAAAAATACGGTAATCTGAGGGTTAAAAGAAACTGTGAGACATTTCTCTTAATATTGTAACACTAAGAGAAATTTGCATATATTTTTCTATTTTCTTTACATTTGTTTCAGGTACTTCTTCCAGCACCCTTACGCCCGGCTCTTTGTATCATATTTTGTTATATTTTGTAATTTCCTCATTTTCGCTGAAGACCCAGTCTCGCACAGTCACACGGAGAGCGAGATTCCAGTAGTTGGGAATGTCTTCTCTTTCATAGCAACAAAATACCCTCCCGAGTGGACCTGGTGTCTCGTAAAGGTGGCGTTATGGTTGTTTGCCATCGTTGTAGGCCTCGAAGTTGGAAAGTATTTTATCCATCACTGTCTTTTCCGTAAGTAAAACCTTTCATACAACTTTTAAAAAAATGACAATAAGTGAAATAAATAAATAGAAATTCTAGGTTGTAACATTTCTAATACCGCATGGTATTATAATCAACAAAGGCACATCAAGGTCAAGGACACATATATCTAGGCATTTGTTATCAATAAAACAGTTGTTTTCCTACAGTAAAGTAGCAAGTTCGTTCTTTTTTCCTACTGTACAGTAACAAGATGGTTCTTTTCTCCTACAGTACAGTAACAAGATGGTTCTTTTTTCCTACAATACAGTAACAAGATGGTTCTTTTTCCTACAAGTACAGTAACAAGATGGTTCTTTTCTCCTACAATACAGTAACAAGATGGTTCTTTTTCCTACAGTACAATAACAAGATGGTTCTTTTCCAACAATACAGTAACAAGATGGTTGTTTTCCAACAATACAGTAACAAGATGGTTCTTTTCTCCTGCAGTACAGTAACAAGATGGTTGTTTTTCGTACAATACAGTAACAAGATGGTTCTTTTCTCCTACAGTACAGTAACAAGACGGTTGTTTTTCCTACAGAACAGTAACAAGAGGGTTGTTTTTCCAACAATACAGTAACAAGATGGTTGTTTTTCCTACAATACAGTAACAAGATGGTTTTTTTCCAACAATACAGTAACAAGATGGTTGTTTTTCCTACAATACAGTAACAAGATGGTTGTTTTTCCAACAATACAGTAACAAGATGGTTGTTTTTCCTACAATACAGTAACAAGATGGTTGTTTTTCCAACAATACAGTAA